GGACCCGGGCTCTCCCGGTGACCCGGGCCCGGCCGCAGGCGCGCGCGGGGGCGGCGGCGCCCGAGCCCAACTTGGCCTCAGCCTCGCCCTCTGCCCAGCCCGCCGGTGTCCCCTCCTTCCCGCGATTTCATTTCTTCTCACGCTCTCCCCTCCACCCCCTCCCGCGTCCAGCCCCGCTCTCCCCACCTTGTAAAACAAAGCCGGGGAAAATGCCTGCCCGTGCAGCTCGGAGCGCGCAGCCTGTCTCCGAATAAGAAGTGAGTACAATGGCGTGTTTGTAAAAGGTTCGAGTCCGTCTTTTAAAAAAAAAAAAACATTTTGAATGCTGCATGCCTCATGCTTCCCAGCGCCTCGCGGGAGAGACCCGGCTATAGAGCAGGAGGTGAGACCCCCGGCTACCCCCCTCCGCCTCCCGCCCCGCGCCTTCCCGCCCCTGCCTGTCCGGGGAGGGCTGCAGATGCCCCGCTGGCAGCAACCGGAGGTTTTCCACCTTCGTTTCCCGTCCAAGGTGTTGGGTCATAATCTGGGGTTGGAGGCAAACCTATCCCCGAATGCTCTCCTCGCTGCTTCTGCCCTCGTCTCCTGCTGGTGCCTGGGGGGTTTTGCATATGATGTGCCTTGGGTACGGATTTGAGACACCTTGGGGGAGTTTCCGAAGGAAGAGGAGGGTCAGCCCTTGGGAGTAGCCGGCAGGCAGGACGCATGGTGACCCTGGTCACACTTGTTGCCCTTTGCGTGGTGGGACAGGCAGTGGTGCTGAAAAAAAAAGCTTGCATCTCCGGGTATGGAGTCGTCCATGGAACCCGGGAGCCAAGAAGACATACCTGGGTGAGGGTGGGAAGGAGACCAGGATTAGAAGGATACGGTGATGTGCTGGGGGCAGAGGAGGGAGGCAGTGATGGGGCCGAGTGTGTGGAAGCGGCGAGTCTGGGATTCCTTGTCCTAAGGAGCTTTTCTTCCTGATCATACATCAAAGGACTGGAGATGGAAACCTAGAGGTTTCCCTATAGTAGACCGAGTGGAAAGGCTGTTGTTTTTTATTTTGATATTTCACCAGTTTCTGCCCATTCGGTCTGCCAAATGTGCATCATATATATATATATATATATATATATATATATATTCTAATTAAAAAAATAAACCAATAGCTAAAAATAATTAAATAGCTTAAAATAATTAAACTCCATCAGGAAATGTATTAGCTTAATACACACACACACACACACACACAATTTTTTTTTAATCTGTCCACTTTCTCCAAAAGCATATAATGATAATGTCTTAGTTTGGCATGGGCTTTAAGATTGGGTTTTGGGATCACTGAGGTAAACAGCCTTGGTGTTTAAGTTCTAGCGACTGGAAACCACTGATGTGAAAAATCAGAAATATTAGAACACAGAGAACTGGAGAGGACAGGCTTGGGAAGCTTCCTTCAGAGAGACACTTTGAAGCTTCTATGTGATTTTCTGTTATTTTTATTCCCCCAAACGCTTAATTTTAGATTATGACCTTTATTTTTTGCCCAGACTCGCTAAGCAGCTTGGAGGTGGGGTGGGCTGGCTAGGCAACAGATGACCGTGATTTTACCTTTTATCGGCGTTTCTATTAAAAAAAAGTTTCTTTAAAAAAATTAAAACACTAAACAGTGCTAATTTTGAGTTAAGTTTATAAATATTAGATGTTAAAGGTGTCTACTAGGTTGGGGCTTTCGTCGGAGCAGGTGAGTGTATCAGGAGGGAAACTTGTACAGACCTGTACATAGCAGGTTGAAGCATAGGAAATTGCTGTAATGTATGTGTGTGGAATTTCCACATGGAGCCATGGGTACAGTTATCTCATCGGAGCTCTGACTTCATCTCTTTAAAGTTGGAATCATTTAGCGCTTTGCTGGTTTGAGGATCCCTCTGTTATCTGCCATCATTTTACAACATGACTTAGGTCTGCCACTTCAAATAGCTTTGTTTGCAGAGCTCCTTTTTGATGGGCACCTGAAGATTTACTTATGTTATGAATTCAGACTGTGGTCGTCCTACCTTTTAACTCACAGTGGTAGTTAAGATGGCAGGATGTGTAGCCACCTGAAAACCGGCGGTCTTCATTGCCTCCTTATCCTTAAGTAATCTGAGGTTCTTGTAGGGCAGTTGGGTGTAATTCCATAGGGATTTCTTCTCTGCTTGCCTACATGTCTTTTAGATCAGGTTATCATTTTACTAAACCTGTATTATATACACTGATTTTACTTATAACAATTATGGGTGTTAAATGGACTATTCTGGTAGGGTTAATGGCCTTTTCAAGTCCCCTGTTTTTCAGCCACTCGCTTCTTACCTCTTTGGTTCAGTGTAGCCTTTCCAATCAAATATATTGTGGTAGATGGTTTATTTTCCCCCTAGCAAGTAGAAGTCTAGTATGTCTTGTGTTTTCTAAAAAGGAATCCATTAATGATATTTTCGAACAGCTGAGATGAATAATAAATGGACTTAGCGTCACCTCAGAGTATATGGGAATTTTGTAAGAGAACACATAAATCCACTCTAATGGAGCAATTATCTTTGTACAGAGCAGTCGGGTCCAAGGTGTGAGACAAGGTTTTAATTTTTGTGTGTGTGATAACATTCACTGTTGAAATGGCAGGAACCTGTTGTATCTTGGCTGCACCTAGGATTGTGCGACAATGGGTAGCAATGCTTTTGTTTTTATAAACATGTCAGAGATCGAATAACAAAATACAGAGAATGCTTAATCATGAACCCACTTTAGAGGGGCAAAAATAAATGATTGGGCTCTGAGGTGGTTTATTTACCACCATGTTTTACCAGAAAATCACTCATGTTTTTGAGCAACGTTTGGGTCACAAGTTTACTCATAGTATAATTCCTGTATTATAATGAATTTTTAAATAAAAATAGAGACTGTTAACATTGATTGCTTATGTTATAGAGTGTTAAGTACTTGAGAAGAGGAATAGATCCATGATCCTTCTTCATGAGTATTCAAATATCTGGCTTAGCATCATCAGCTCTTAGGAGTTCAGTAAGTCTTCGTTGGCTAGCATGGTGGACAGATATCAATTTTGAATTAGGAAGAATGCAGGCATTCTTTTTTTTTTTTTAAGTTTCTTTGTCTACCTCCTGCTTTTCCCCCTCCCATCGGGATCCCCAATGGCAGCAGAGAGCTAAGACCCAGCCCCCTTTCCTTGAACTCATATATATGGTCCTCAATGGGATCTAGTGCAAGCACTTCTGGTTTAGTTTCCAGAGCTTCCACCAGGAGAGCAAGCAGAGTTCAGCCAACCTTTGCTGATCATTTCCCCCTCTAACCTCCTCCAACCTCACCCTTATTCTCTCTTGTTGTCAGTGGCGGCACCTGACTTGCTGGATCCAAAATCTGCGGCTCAGAACTCCAAACCAAGGCTCTCGTTTTCCACGAAACCCACCGTGCTTGCTTCTCGGGTGGAGAGTGACACAACCATTAATGTTATGAAATGGAAGACGGTCTCCACGATTTTCCTGGTGGTCGTCCTCTATCTGATCATTGGCGCCACCGTGTTCAAAGCGTTGGAGCAGCCTCACGAGATTTCACAGAGGACCACCATTGTGATCCAGAAGCAAACATTCATTTCCGAACACTCCTGTGTCAATTCGACTGAGCTGGACGAACTTATCCAGGTAATGGCGCAGAGGAGCGGTTACTCCGTTTCCTCTCCCGGGAAACAAAGAGTCAGGGTTGGAGGAGACAACTCATAGCACAATGCGGTCCTGACGTGCCTGTGAGGGTCCTCATCCACTTTTCTCCTTAGCATAGACTTCTTTTCCTCAGTTTGTCTTCTTCCTGCACTTCTGGCCTCTTTCCTTGCTTCTGCCATCTTTTCTTCTCATTTTCCTTTATTCTCCCTCCCACTGTTCTTTCTCATCCTCTTCTATTCCTGCTCGTCTGTATTTCTGTCCTGGCATCTCCCAGCTTTCCTTCCCTTCGTCCTGTCTTAGAACTGCCAGTGGACACCCATGGACCCAGGGTTACCTTGCTGGAGGCCCTCCTGATTAGATGACCATTGCCTACTAAGAGAATTTGCCATGGCAAATGGGAGGAAAATATAAGGCAGAAAAAGTATATTAATCGTGGCAGTGACCATCATAAGATAGAAAAGATGAGTTTGTGATGTGACCCTCTTGAGACAGGCATCCCTCCTGGTTAACAAGCTGCAGTTCACACCTTTCCTCTAGCCAAAGTGTAGCTCTGATAACTGCCATTTTTAGGTGTCTAGGGAGAGGTGACTAGTCATTGCTTCTCTAAACCCCAACTAAAAGCAATTTACTGCTGTACAAATAAATGGAGTTTTCAAATAAAAACTAATTTAGTTTTAATTTACTCTCTAATGGCAGGATAGTATCTTTACGGAAAAACATTTTGTTTTAAAACGTAATCCCAAAATGATTTAACAGTTTCAGTTAGGCTCCTTGGAGATGGCTGTATTTTTGTTGTAGATTTCTTTTGCATAAAACATAAGTCAAGCCAAGAATCTTGGTGAAGAAGAAAGCCCTGGAATTTTTCTTTCAAAGAGAGATCTGCCTGGTTGTTGAAAATATGTTAATTGAACACGTATTCATTTTCCTATAGACCTTACTTTTCTTACCTGATGTAAGTCGAGTTGGACTGAAAATTATCTGAGTCATCATCTGAGCATGTTCTTCATCTTATATTTGATTTTATATCATTTTAATGATTTGGAATAGTAGATTGAGGGAAGAAATTATTATTGGTTTTAATCCAGTTTCTTGTTCTAAACCGTTCCTCTTTTATTTCCTCTTGCAATGGATTCCCAAATGCTGCCTCTGCCCTTCATACCCCTCTCTGTTTATAGAATATACATCCAAGTTATTATTCTAGTTTTTTTTTTAAACTTTCAAAGCTAATATTCACTGACCCTCATTTAGCTCCCACCACAGTCAGACACTTCTGCATCTCACGTGTTTGACTTAAATTTTGAAAAAGCTCCTCACATACTTATGTACCGAATTCTCTGCTATTTTTAGATGATAGCAGCATTTTCCGGATTGATGGTAAACCTGACAATGAAATATCGTTGTCCCACCCACCCCACTGCCAGTTCCTTCATAAGATCACTTTCACTTCACCCTCTCTGTGCCTCATAATCCTAAGAGGCACTCAAAATCTTTGACGAATCCCCCTGTGGTTTCAGAAGCGTTCTAGGTGGTCTTGGAGGTAGCATGGAGTAGTGGTAAAAGCCTAAACTCTGGGATCAAATAGATGTGTTTTAAACTCCAGTTGAGTACTTTTAATGAAAATGTCACCTTGAATAAGTAATTTTCCTCTCTAAGCTTTACACGGTCTATCTGGGATGAGGAGTGAATACCTATAAACTAAGGTTGCTGTAAAGAGTTAAAGACATAATCCGAGTAAAGCATTTAGGTCCTTAAAAAGTGCTGGGTTTGTTTGCTGTAGTTATCCTCCCATCCCTACCCCATCCCTTTATTTGGTTGAAACATCTGATTCATCTGAAGTGAGGCGGTTGGTATTGGGCAGGAAAACTCAAACAAAAATAAAACCTGAAATTTCAGGACAGTGCTGGAGTGAATGTGGAAATGGTCCCTCCCACTGTTCAGTATTGCCCAGATTTATTCAGCATTGTGAAAGTAACTTAAAGGTCATGGCAGGTGGGGACAATCTGGAAGTGGAAACTGATCATTTTTGCTACATTGTTTTTGGAATGGCAACAAACAGAGCTCAATATATGCCCTAATTTTTTTTTTCTGCCCCACACAGGCAATCCACTTTAGCTTTATTAATAGTCACTGCTGATCGAGTATTTTTGCTTCTTAAAAATCTGAATTACATTTTTGCTTATTCAGTATTTTTTCAATGCAGAAATTGCCTATTATTTATTGTCATATCACTCACCTTTATAACCTGATGGCTTTAATAAATTATTTTTCTCTTTGAATATAATTTTTTTTTTCTGATAAGAGAAATCTTTATAATGGCATGGCTTCAAGGACCAAGATTAGTGTTTTAAAGAGGGAGGTAGGCAAATGAGCCAGTAATTATATATTAGAATTCCATTCCATTCATATGCTTCTCATAAATTTCAGTCTTGTTTCCACATTTATTTTCCCACTTAAAGGTTTAAGTGGTTTAAAAGCATCCCTTAAAACCTCATGAGTAGACATCTTATTTTATCTGTTTCTAGAGATTTGTTTTGTTCCTTTGATTGAGCCATGCTTCCTTGTTTCTTTGTGTGCCTTGTAACTTTGTGTTGTGATCCATCCATTTGAAAACACAGCCACTGCCTGTCAATCTTTGCAGACTGACTAGGTGCAGGGAAAGACTTTCGCCAATCAGCCCAGCTTGACAAGCCTCTCAGATATTTTCTGTGGATTTGATTCCCCTGGATTTGTAATTTCCCAATTAGGTGGATTTGCCAATTTCTTTTTTCAGGAGCTTGTAATCTCTTGCTACCTCTAGTGTCTGTCTGCAGTACTGCAGGTTTTATGGAGCTGCTAGAAGCCACTCAGGTCTCTTTTATTCTCAGTGGTCTCCAGGGTTCTAGAGTAGACTGCATCCCATCAGTACTCTGAGTCGGGCAAGGCAGAAACCATTCCTTTGGGTAGTCCCCCCAAAAGCCAGAATGTTGGATGTATGCTCCACTCCTCTGTTCCCCCCGAGGGAGAGGTTACCAAGGTATATTGGCCTCTGTCTGCTGTACCATGGGTCCTCTGGAGCAGAGGCAAGCTGCCCAGCTCACATTTGTTCTCAGTGTCTCCTAGGCATCTAGAGTTTGCTGGGTCCCATCAGTGCTCTGAGATAGGCAAGACAGAAACTAGTCCCTTGGGCAGCACCCCAAAAACTCAGAGCATTAGATGCACGTTCCAGCTCTTTCCCTCCCCAGGGATAGTAAACCAGGGCCTGGGAATTTTCTTCCAGTCACAAGCAAGGGGAAGGACTAGGGCGATCTGAAAGATAATCCAGGCATACCTCGGAGATAGTGCTTGTTGGGTTCCAGGCCACCGCAATAAAGCGAGTATTACAGTAAAGCAAGTCACACAAATTTCTGGTTTCCCAGTGCATATAAAAGTAATGCTTGTACTATACTGTAGTCTGTTAAATGTGCAATAGCATTATGTCTCAAAAAAACAATGTATATATTTAATTTAAAAATACTTTATTGCTAAAAAAAAAAAAAAAAGCTAAACATCCTCTGAGCCTTCAGTGAGTTGTCGTCTTTTTACTGGTGGATGGTCTGGCCTCATCGGTAATGGCTGCTGACGGATCAGGGTGGTGGTTGCTGAAAGCTGGAGTTGCTGTGGCGATGTCTTACAAGTTGACAATGAAGTTGTCTTATTTTCCGTATCGATTGACTCTTCCTTTCATGAAAGATTTCTCTGTAGCATGCCATGCTGTTTGATAGCATTTTACCCACAGTCAGACTTCTTTCAAAGTTGGAGTCAATCCTCTCACACGCTGCTGCTGCTTTTTCAAGTAAGTTGATGTAATATTCCAAATCCTTTGTTATCATTTGAACAGTCTTATAGTATCTTCACCAGGAGTAGGTTTTAGCTCAAGAAACCACTTTCTTTGCTCATCCAGTAAGAAATAACTCCTTATCCATTCAAGTTTTATCATGAGATGACAGCAATTCAATCACATCTACATCTTCAGGCTCCACTTCTAATTCTAGTTCTCTTGCTGTTTTTACCACTTCGGCAGTTACTTCCTCCACTGAAGTCTTGAACTCTTCAAAGTCACTGTGAGGGTTGGAATCAACTTCTTCCAAACTCCTGTTAATGTTGATATTGTAACCTCTTCCCACGAACCGTGAATGTTCTTAATGACATCTACAACAAACTGAATCCTTTTTGAAAGGTTTTTCATTTACTTTGCCCAGATCCATTACAGGAATCACTACCGATGGCTGCAATAGACTTACGAAATGTATTTCTTTCCTTCTTTTTTTTAGTGTCAGGTGTACAAAACAATGTAATAGGTAGACATTTACACCCCTCTGACATCGTGTATAGCTGTTACAATTTCATTGACTCTATTCCCTATGCTGTACTCCACATCCTGTGAGTATATAAGTATAGATATTTGATTATAATTGACATTCAATATTATTCAGCTTCAGCTTCAGGTGTATAGCGCAGTGGTCAGGCATCTACACAGTCCATGAAGTGGTCTCCCTAATAAGACATGTGCACATCTGACACCCTACAAAATCTTTACAACATTATCAATTAGATTCCCCAAACTGTCTTTTATTTCTTAAATAATAAGACTTGAACATTGAAATTACTCCTTGGTCCACGGACTGCAGAATGGATGCTGTGTTAGCGGGCATGAAAACAACATTGATCTCATTGTACATCTCCATCAGAGCTCTTGGGTGACTGGGTGCATTGTCAGTGAGTAGTGATATTTTAAAAGGAATCTCCTTTTCTGAGCAGTAGGACTCAACAGTGGACTTAAAATATTCTGTAAACCATGTTGTAAACAGATGTGCTATCATCCAAGCCTTGTTGTTCCATCAATAGAGCACAGGCCGAGGGTTTTCAGGATGGTAAATGAGCATTGGCTTCCACTTAAAGTCAGCAGCTCCATTCGCCCCTAACAAGAGAGTCAGCCTGTCCTTTGAGGCTTTGAAGCCAGGCAT